AATCCAAAAAGAAATGGAAATCTGAGACGAAACTATTAGTGATATGTGAAGGAAAGAAAAAAATAATACTTCCTCTTTGAGGAAGAAAAGAAAATAATATGAGTAGTAAAATTTTTCCCAAAGAAGGAGAAATACAGAGTATTCCCAGTGAGGGAGAAATCTGATTAGTAAAGTTTGAGAAATTAAAAGAATTTTCTAAACCTTATCGCCCTTGTTTAGTAGTTAGTAATGATTTTCAGAATGAATTTGATGATAAAATAGTAGTAGTCCCAACCACCACTGATGATATTGAGGGTATTCAGCCTTTTGAAGTTTTTATTAACAATGCCCTTGAAACTGGTTTAGATTGTCCCAGTAAACTTCTGTGTAATTATCCTCATACTATTTATAAAAAATTACGATTAGTGGATAAGCAACGACTCGGAATAGTCAGTCCAGAAATAATGAAAAAGGTGAAAAGAGCCTTAAAATTAACGCTTAATTTAGAAAATTAGAAAACAGGGTTAAAACATTATAACAATTTAAAATTATAATATTATGAAACGAGTAGAACCAAAACAAACTTTAAGCATTGCTATTCCTACCAGTCTTTATCAAAAATTAATGAAAGAGGTAGGAAAAGGAAAAATTGGCAAGTTTATCAAGGAAACAGTAGAGGAAAAATTAGAGCAGGAAAAAGAAAATTTAGGTAGAGCCTATCGAGAGTGCTATACTAATAATCCTCATTTATTAGAATTGGCAAAAAAATGAGAAAGGGCGGGAATAGAAAGTTGATTAAGTTGCGAACGAAATAAAAGAAAATTAACTGCGGCTAAAAAGTTTAAAAAAAGAAATGACCGAAAAGTTAATTAGACGAGGAGAAGTTTTTTGAGTAGATTTACCAGACAGCAAAGGACGAGAATTGAAAGAAATCCACCCTTGCTTAGTAATTTCAAACGACACGCAAAACTTATTTAGCCCTTTAATAACTGTCATGCCTATTACTTCTTTGAAAGCAGGCGACAAAATATTTCCTTTTCAAATTTTTATCCAATTAAAAAAAGAAAGCGTAATATTAGTAGACCAAATTCAAACAATTGACAGAGAGAAATTTTTGGATAGAATTGCCAAAGTCTCGGAGGAGATAATGGAAAAAGTGGAAAAATCTTTACATATTACTTTGTCCTTAAAAAATTAAAAAAATATGCTAAAATTATTTGACTTTCAAGAAAAATCCGTTTTAGAGATAGTAGAAAAATATGAAAAGTATCTCAATCAGTCAATAATCATTAAAAGAGGTGATGAAGAAATACCAGTCCCTTTTATTCAAATTTTAGATGCTTTAACTGGCTCAGGAAAAACCGTAATTTTAGCCAAAACCGCGGGAGAGATTAGTAAATTATCTCCATTAAAACCTATAATTTTATGGTTAAGCAAAGCCAGTGTAGTAGTCGAACAAAGTTTTAATAATTTAACTAGTGGTGGAAAATATCACCATTTATTAGGAAAAAGCGAAGTTATTATGCTGTCAGAATACCAAGAAAGATTATTAGAGGAAAATGAAACTCTGGTTCTTTTTGCTACTGTCGGAACCTTTAACCAAAAAGACAAAGAGGCCGGTAATCGCCAAATTTATCAATGTAAACTGGACGAACAAAGCCAAAGCACTTGAGAAAGTTTAAAAAATCGTGGGGAAAGACCATTATTTATTGTTTATGACGAGGGACATAATTTATCCGACCAACA